GGGTAGACACGAGACGGTGTGCCAGTAAGAACGTTGAGGTAAGGACGTCGTTATAGATGGTATCAGAGCCAGACACTAGACTATGTGCCAACGAGCAGGCTGTTCCCCCTCCCAAAGGAGGGTAGACACGAGACGGTAGATTGTGATGTCCCACATTAGTTAGGGAGGAGAACAATATCTCCTACCGGTGGATATGAGCTGATATAATAAATAAAATAAAATAAAATAAAAGATCCTTAACAAGGTACAAAGTAGTACATAAAAATTGTCAAAAATCAGCCTCATGTTTTGTTTTTGTGTTTTTTTTTTTTAATTTTTTATTTTAATAATTAACTTTATAAACGATTTGATTTTTTTTTCATGCCCTTTTATTTTCAATTACTTTTTGCGAAGTACAAATTTTATTTTTAATTTTTTAATTCTTTTTTATAAAGAAAATTTGTACGACCATTTATTTATTTATTATTATTATTTTTTAAATAGAATTATAAAGTGGTTGATAAAACGACATAAAAATAGATCTTGAGCTTGCTTGTAATGTTACACACATAATGTGGGAGACATTGAAAATAAATGTTTAACATTAATATACATTATGAAAATGATAGTACACAATAGTGTTCATTTGTCACAACTCGCGATTAAAATATACTTGTTATCGTAAGCTCGTGTGTGTCATTTTCGTCCTCACAAATTGAACCTAATCCCGAGCACTTGCTTTCGTAAGTAACGATTTTGTTTGGTGGTAGTTGGAACACGTTTGTCTATAAGTGTCCGTTTGTTCAATGACGAAAAATGAAGTTGAAATGGGTCGGATTGAAACATTTTTAGATCCAACCTAATTGTTCGAGACATTTATTCAAAATTTTGTTTTTAATAAAAATAAAAATATTAGTTCGTAAAATATCTATTTATTTATTTTTAAATATTTAATTAAGATTTGTAATTCAATGTAAATATATATTTTGAAAAATTACCTTCGAAAAAAATGTATTTTTAAAATAAACCCGTGAACAACTTAATTCATAAAGTTTTCATTTATTTGAACCCAACTCAAATTAGATTAGGTTGATCGGACTTTTCGAGTCATCAAATTTTTTAACACTTCTAATACTTGAAACATCGAGCTATGCCGGCTCAAACTCAAATTGGGCTAGGTTGATCTGATTTTTCGAGTCATCGAGTTTTTTTAACACCTCTAATACTTGAAACACCGAGCTATGCCGGCTCAAAATTGACTTTTAAGTGTTTTTATTGAACTTGATTATTAATAATATGTGGTCAAAAAAGAAAAAGAAAAAAAGCAATAGAGTACTCAAAATATCCATTAATTTCTAAGCACACAAATAAAGATGATTGATATCTTTCAATAAAGATCCAAAGTAGTAAGCAAATATATAAATATTTTCAAACATTTAATGACCCATTTTATATAGACATGTCATTTTAGTACTTCACAAATGTTTTTTTTTGGTTCTTTTTAGGGTATATTTTCCCCTCAAGTCGAACTTCACCGAATTTCCCCGAGCTCTGCTCATGATGACATTTTCTGTAGATATGACGTATCGACTTTCAAAAAAGAAAACTTAGTACAACCGTTCATTTTACACTATAATTATTACAGAAAAAAAAACGTAATAAAAACTACATCTTTAAACCTATCTCGTATCATTACAAACAATGTGGCAGACATGCATGAAAACAAATGTTGATATCATAATGAGAATGAAAACGACGATATACAAAAATATTTTCATTCCCACAAGTGATTATAACCCTTATTTTTCATAAGCTCACGTGTTTTGTTTTCATCCTCACAACTGTTGAGTAAAACAAACTTCAATTCATTTTCAAATCCGACTCAAATCTTGACCGAAAAACAAACTTTTTCATCAATATAACATTAAAATTTTTCTAAATTGACGTATATACACATCGTAATAGAATTTTTTTGAGATGGGTTTGTATATTTAGGTAAGAACATAGACAAACAATGTCTAAAACATCCTTAAATCATTACATTACATTGGATGAATCACTGTTTTTCTTTCCTTAATTCAAACAAACAAACCTTAAAAGAAGTAAAAGAAGAAGAGATGGTGAAAATGTTGATGAACAAAAGGGAAAATTTTTGGCTGTCCCACAAACTTGAGGTTGAAAACAATGGGCACTTACTTATAGGCATAAGTGAAATCATTTTCCAAGCTTTTGTTTTTGTTCTTTGTGGAAAGCATCTGATGCTTCACTTTCTTGTAGAGGGAAGAACACAAGGGTCTGGAATTTTCCTTGAAAATGGCCCATTCATAAGGGAACACTTGGCTGGGATCTGCTACACAAAAGGGTGTAAGAGAGATATTTGAAGAATTATAGACCAATGGGGAAGAACGAAACTGTAACGGTTCAAGCTCACTGCTAGTAGATATTGTCCTCTTTGTGCTTTCCCTCTCGGGCTTCTTTTCAAGGGTTTTAAAACGTGTCGGCTAGTGAAAGGTTTTCATACCCTTATAAAGAGTGTTTCTTTCTCGTTCTTAACCGATGTGGGATGTCAATCTGAGAGGAAAGAGAGAATAGTGGTAGGATTAGGATTATGAAAGGTTGAGTATTGGGAGCCATTGTTAGTGCTTTTACACATGGCTTTGATTAGGGTTTGTAATGGGTAAACATCAAGAGGAAGAAGACAATTGGGCAAACAAAATTAGGGTTCTTGAGTTTGTTTGAATTGGGGAATTGGGTTAGTGTCAAAGAGATGAATTTTATATGAGATGTGGAGGTTTTTTGTTAGTGGAGTATGGGCATATTGGGGAATAACATGGGTGTGTTAGATATTGGTTGGAATTTGTAAAAACGAATGAATACGATAGAGATGTCTATTTAATCTCTGGGATCTGTTTAGACGAGTTGGAGAGATTACTCTTCGTTAGCTAAATGGAGCCGGAGATGGGAATTATACTCATATTCTCTACCTCGACTGTAACGGTCTAAGCCTAACGCTAGTAGATATTGTTCTCTTTGGACTTTTCCTCGATGTTTTTAAAACGTGTCTGTTAGGGAGAGGTTTCAACACTCTTATAAAGAAGGTATTAGAGCTAGACACTGGGTGGTGCGCCAATGAGGACGTTGAGCCCCAAAGGGAGGTGGACACAGGGTGGTGTGTCAGTGAGGATGTTGGGTCCTGAAGGAGGGTGAATTGTGAGAGCCCACATCAATTGGAGAGAGCAACGAGGACGTTGAACCACAAAGGGGGTGGACACTGGATGATGTGCTTGCGAGGATGTTGAGCCACGAAGGGGGATGGATTGTGAGATCCCACATCGGTTAGAGAGAGGAAAGAGTGTCGGTGAGGATGTTGGACCCTAAATGAGGTGGATTGTGAGATCCCACGTCGGTTGGAGAGGGGGAACAAAACATTCTTTACAAGGGTGTGAAACTCTCCTCTGACGCGTTTTAAAAACTTTAAGGGAAAGTCCAAAGAGAACAATATCTACTATTTGTGGACTCGAGCTATTACACCGATCTTATCCATTGAACGTTAATTCAATATACTTTTACGATTTCTTTGTCAAACTATTATATTGTACCAATCTTTTTCGAACATTTTCTCGAATATCATAGACTTTTCAAACGTTGCCACGTCGAGGACCTTGAATTCCTTTGATGTTAGCCCAATCAATAGTACACACCTCTGGAACCTAGGATAGGTAAGGTTTAAAAAAGTAGGATCCTCACTTACAAACCCACCATACACGCGTATAATTGTTTCACCACTTTTTTCTACACTTACACGGACATTAACCTCAATGTCCTTGTCTTGAAAGGGTAGTGGGTACCCTAAATGTCATAGAAAGACTTATACTTTGATCGGTCGAGTACTTTCGATTTTGGTTTAGTCTATTTTTTTGTTCATATTTTAGTTCGTGCACTTTCAAAACTATCACTTATTGTTTCTTAAATTCTTAAAAAGTTGTAACGACCCCTGTCTAAGATTCGGAATCTAGATTTGACACCGGATCGCCCCGACATTCTCTTGTGACATAGCCACATTACTTACTCCTCGTTTCTAAAAGTGAAAACTATTTCCACATACCGACACGAGGTCTTTGAACACTTTCAAAACCCATCACTTATTGTTTTTTAAATTCTTAAAAAACTATAACGACCTATGTCTAGGATTCAAAATATGGATTTGACACCTGATCCCCCCGACATTCTATAGTGACATGCTCACGTTACTTACTCATCGTTTTTAAAAGTGAAAACTATCTCCACATACTGACACGAAGTCTTTGTGCACTTTCAAAACCCATCACTTATTGTTTCTTAATTTCTTAAAAAATTGTAACGACCCAGGTGTAGGATTCGAAATCTGAATTCGGCACCTAATCGCCCCGACATTCCCTTGTGATATGGTCACGTTATTTACTCCTCATTTCTAAGAGTGAAAACTATCTCCATAGATTGACACGAGTTCTTTGTGCACTTTTAAAACCATCACTTATTGTTTCTTAAATTCTTAAAAAATTGTAACGACCCATGTCTAGGATTCAAAATTTGGATTCGGCACCTGATCGCCCGACATTCTTTCGTGACACAGTCACGTTACTTGCTCCTCATTTCTAAAAGTGAAGACTATTTCCACAGACTGACACGAGTTCTTTGTGCACTTTGAAGACCATCACTTATTGTTACTTAAATTCTTAAAAACTTGTAACGACCGATGTTTAGGATCTAAAATCTGGACTCGGCACCTGATGGCCCGAACATTCCTTTGTGACGTAGTCACGTTTAAGAGCGAAGACTATCCCATAGACCAACACCAATTCTTTCTGAATTAAATGGACATTATTTCTTAATTAATCGTTTGATAATTTATCTAATAAAGACATTACAAGACTTGGGCCACAAGTTTTAGCCCAACGAACCCTATAACTATAAATGGGCTGTGAATTAGGAGATTACGGGCCCAAAGTCCATCTCCAGTTTCTTCTTCTTCAAGCTCAAGAAAACCTCCACGACGGAGCACTGTGAAATTCTCAAAATTAAGTGTTTGGCCCGCCGGATTTCGTGGTGTTTTCTACGACAATGGAATTTTTTCTCGAAGAAGGAAAGCAAGTTCATGGCAAGAGCTCCACTCTGATTCTGGTTCGTTCTTTTCTGAGCTTCTTCTTCTTTTCATCGTTTTGCCTTTCTATCAATTAATCAATCTAGCAGAAGATTTTTGCATCGTATTAGCTTCGAGTGGTTTGAATGTTTATGAAATTCCTAGAAAATAGGAAGGAAAATGGAAATCTAATTCGGCTTGCTATTAATTGTTCATAGAGCTCGAAAGGAGGGTGAAGGTTTATGTGGCTGATTGTGTTAATAAGCCAAATAGTTAATCTTCTGCTACTGTTGTGATTTGATGAGTTTTTTAGTTTATATTCCTCTTAACACGACGAGAATTTTTGTTGTGTTTCTACAATAAGTTGTTACTTGCAGGCATTGCCCATTCATGGAAGGGCATGTGTTCATGTAATTTGGTCCTACCATCCCTTTAGCCCAGCCCTTTCCTGTCAAACTTGACCAGAAGACTTATATGGTCTGGAATAATCATGTCATGGTCTTGAACATGTGATAAACAGAACCCACTCAAGCTGATTCTGAAGAACAGCCTGAGCAATGATGAGTATCATGTGTATGGTTTATATTCATGACCTCGTAGCCGGCATTTATTTCCTCGCCTAGGTAGCTAACTACTTACAAAACCCATTTCCTTTTTTGCCTTATCTTGCATAATCATTTACAATTGGAGGCCTAATAGATGGTGACATGTACGGAAGGTGCCATTTGAGGATTGTGGATTTTCTTCTGGAACTGAAATATGGATGCATTGTTGAGAAAATAAGAATTAACTATACCAGCTTTCAACTATTGAACTAAGGAACAGCTACACAGTTCTCGAAGGGCAGCATGGCTAGCATATCTAGGCAGAAGCAATGACATAGCAAATGAGTTGGAGGCAATTGGTGAAATTTTTACTACTACAGGCCGTCTAAGATATCTTGGAAGTTTTGACAAGCAATTTCTTGGATGCATAAGTAGCCCACATATAAGTTATGCATTTGGATTGGAGAATAAAAATTTGGAGTTAAGTTGCAGCTTGCTGGAACCAAATTGATGAGCTTTCTAATATAAAGGTCCAGAAAGTTCAATTGAACATTTTCCAGAAACTCAAAGAAATTTTAGATTTGTAGAAAACTAGGCCAGTCAGTAATATTCTACTACGATCACGTTTATCTTAACTATCAGCCTTGGAATCACAATATTCCTGCCCATTTTACCATTTTAAGTCGTGGACACTACAGATTGTATGTATGTTATAGACCCAGCTGTCTCCTCAATTCATAAAGAAAAAAACTGGGTAGTGGGCATTCCTTAACTCTCAAGAGCCCCATCGTGGTGCTAACAGGGTTGATGTTGGAAACTGTATCTTTATAATGTTGGTAATGCTCAACTCCCAACTCCCCTTTAACAATCTATCTTTGTAACTCATTTGGGAGTTTACAGAATTTTTTTTAGTGTTAGTTTAACCATCTTTGTATTTGAGTGTTTTCTTTGTTAGGGAACTTCCACCAAGAGAGTCTTGACGATGACCTCTATTCCACCTAACTCCTCCACCAATATGAATAAAGTACTTCCTTATGGCCTAGTGGACCTCGTCACAATACATTTCTAGTCAAGTTTTTTATGTAAATTTGTGGCAATGCCACCAGAATATTCATCATAACTTATAAATAATCAAACTTTTGAATCAATATACCAATGACTCTTCGAATTCGAAATTCTTTGAATTTGAATTTCGTTAAACATGTTGTGCTTGCTCGTTCAATGTATTTTCTAAACTTCAGAAAGTGGCTATCCTTTTGTTTTTAAACTAATTGTGTATTTTATTTTGGTTATTGATTCATTCAGCCAGCATTGTCAATTGGGAATGTGGGGCAGTTAGCAGTGGACCTGTTGGTTTCCACAATGAGTGCAACAAGAATTGGTTATTTGGATGACCCTTTTGTTCTGCCTTGTATTGGTAATAATGCTTATGAGCCATTTCCCCATGGGGAGCTTGCCCTCCCTCTTGAAGGTCTGTCTTGCTTGGTAGTAATTTATTTTTAAAATTTCTTGAAGTGGTATTGGAATTTGTAATATCAACACTAGCTTTGTTATATCGATTTCTTCTGTCTTCTGGTAACTCGAGTTTATGCATTAACTTTTTTTTTTTTTTTTTTAAATTGGTTTCAGTTTATGAATCAACATCTAATGCAGTGACCCTTGTCCAGCAAAGGTCACCTGTTATCAAGGCAAGTTTCAACACCCCAGTCGTATTTACATATTTTATCACAATTGGCCATGTACTTTTGCTTACTCGTTCTTTTCACCAATTGTGTGTAAAAAGTATATAATGCCTGAACTTATAAAAGAGCTATATAGTGCCTTCTGGCTAATTTCTGCAGAATTTCATAAACAAGTATCGTACTGTATCTTGAGTAATGGTTGTATCATCTCAAAGTATAAATTTACCTTTAGAAGGCAGTTCAAGTATCGCCAGTCCAATTAAGATTTCAGAGAGAGAACATAGCAAGGGAGATATACTAGTCTAGTGTTATCCCTTTTTTGTTATCTCGAGGAGATGATAGTACTGCTCTTCGGTTTGTGAACTTCTTTTCTTTGCGTTGGTGGCATCAATAATTAGTATTTTTAAATTGAATTGTGATTTGTTCAAGCAGGGGAAAATGGTCGATTTTGCAAAGAACTTGGCTGATTTTATTGCAACTTATGGGAAGATGCATGTTGTTCTGCTTTCTAGCTTAGATTTTGGAAGGTGGCAACAAATTGATACGTCAAGGTATTTTTTTGGTACCTCTTTTAACATTTTCCAGTCGCAGAATCTTATTTAGTCTCGTAAGGCAATGAAGCATTATTTCATAAACCGAAGTAACTCCCACCATAAATATCTAAGCCTTGTCTTGTAGGACTATGATTCTAGGACTGTACATTAATTCGGCTGGATGGTTTGCCAAAACTATTATCTTCCCAAAGTTACTTGTAAAATACTTGAATTCCATTGCTTGTTCTTTGCATACAGCAAGCCTGACCAATTAACTGTCATTCCATGGTTATTAATTTGGTCTTTTGATGCATATCAGTGGCTCGCAGATTCATTATCTTTCTAGCACCAATGATGACGGAACTGATGACAAGTGTGAACAAATGGGATGGAGAAGGCTGCAGGAATACGACCCACAGCAGCGACGATGGAAATATCTTAGCACGTTAACTGAAGCCAAGGCTACCCCGGAGGATGACCTGCCTTTTGATGAGGAGTTGGAGGAGGGAGACTACCTCCCAAGTCTACCATTTGCCTCTCTCTTTACTTTTTTGAAGGTACAACCTTGAAATAACATCATCATCAGACGTCAGACATTAAATTTTTCTTCAAAATTTTCTAATGGCACTTATGTTTGTTGTGGTGTCAAGGCCAAAGGTGTGAAGGTCACCTGCTTATTTTGTTATTGTTCAGAAGGAGACAACATAGCTGATGCTTTCAATTTGGCTGAGGCAACGGGCAAACTTCTGGGTCTGAGTCCCGGTAATCTCATGGCTTCACCTGCCAATGTTTTTAAATCTGATATATCATTAGTTGGCATGAGTCATCTTTACTTATACTGTGAGATCCCACATCGGTTGGGAGGAGAACCAAACACCCTTTATAAGGGTGTGGAAACTTATACCTAGCAGATGTGTTTTAAAACTGTGAGGCTGACGGTGATACATAACGGGCCATAGCGTGGGCTTGAGCGGTTACATATATATCTTTAAGGTCCATCTCTTGGGTTTTCTTTCCAACATAACTGACGTGGTGGCATTATATTTCTACCTGCTTATTACATTATACATAATCATTTTGTAATTTTGAAAACTATGTTTTGCACTGATCAACCTAGCTCAAAAGGTTTAGACATAAACTCTTGGCAAAGAGGTCAAACGTTCGAATTACCCCAACCCCACATGTTGTTGAGTTAAAAAAAAAATGTGATTTGTGAAGTATTCCTTGTTATCTCTCTTTATCCCTTTTGAACATACTTTCCTAAACGGCGGGCTTTTTGGAAGCTTTCTTTCTGTGTTTCAAACATAATAAGAAGGGTTTTGTGGAATCTTAACTACTGATGTTTGCTGTAAAACCTTTGTGTCACATCTCTTCTGATTTTGTATTCAGGTGGCGAAGGCATTCAATGGCAAGTCCCGTTTTCTTGGAAGTCTGTTTATGGACCACCGCCAGATCTGTCCATCTTCTAGACAAGGATGGGTAGAATGAATCACAAGTGCCCAGTTGAAGAAATTGATCTGTAAAGAAGAAATGAAAGGACCTCTCAACCATAACAGGTGAATGCTTCTCCCCTTTTGGTTAACTATTCTACTTCAATCCATTTGAAATCAGAAATTTTCTGTCTTGGAGTCGTATATTCATACAGTAATTGCAGTTCTAAACGTATTTTAGATAAAATGTTGATTAAATCTGTACTTTTCTTAACCACGTATCAGAAATTTTATGTCTTGGATTCTTTGTGTGGCGAAATGTTCATTTAACCTATCGAGGAAGGCAGTGGAGAGAAATTTCTTTTTGTTAGCTAAACAGGACTGGACTAGGGACGGGGATAGTATGTTAGAAATGGTAAGGACATGTTAGATGCACGATTGAAGTTCAAAAACTTATTAAATACAACGTCGAAATTTTAGGTAACTATTAAAATAGATTTTTTCGTCCTATCAATTTAATGGCAAAATTCTCGGGTAAAGTTTAGTGCTATATTGGAAATCATTTAAGTATGATCTAGACTTTCCAATGTAGGAGCACTCTCCTTTTTATATTAACCTTGAGTCATCAATGCCTTTTTTACTCGACTTGGTCCAATCGCCCTATGCGACTGACGTGCTTCTGGGGAATACAACCCTTAGCACAACAAACACTCCAAGAGGCTACACGAACGTTTCTCTTTCTCTCTTGCTGATTCCAAACTCCTGGGCTAAAAAATTGGAACAAACTCTCTAGGAAAAGAGCTATTACCTTGTTCCCGAGTAATTTAGTGTCTTTTTCGTTATGATTACTGTTAGTTAAGTTTTATTAGAGTTAAATTTATTAAATATTTATTAAAAAAAAATACAAATTGCCACAATAATGTCAAATGTGATTTAAACTTTTTATTAAAGAGCAAAAATATAATATTCATTTAGAAATAAAAAATGTAGAAAATTACATTATTTGGTATTTAAAGTGGATAGATTTGGATCTGGAAATCTTTATTAAAGGCATTGCCTTTTGAAAACAGTATTATAATTTATTTATTTATTAAACATATAATATTATAATTTCACTTTCAAACGTGCCATTTTCAATATTTAAAAAATGCATTTCTTATTATAATCTCTCCTCGGGCCTGCCAAATAATAAATTATTTGGCCTAATATTACAAAAAATAATAATTTAAAGAATAATTGTATTATTTGGCCTAATATTACAAAAAAATAATAATTTAAAGAATAATTGGAATAATTGTAAGTGTGAATTTTTCTCAAAAAAGAAAATAATAATAATAATAATATGAAAATAAAAAATGTTTATTAATATGATAATCTTAATAGAATCTTGATCAATCTTATAAAGATTAAATTAATTTTGTCTCATTATTAAAAAAAAAAAAAAACATCATATTTAACCTTTCTTGTATTTATAAATGAATTTAATTTGGACATATTTCAATGGTAAATTAACAAATTTCTAAATCTTCGACAAAATAGGTTTTTAGTAATGATTTTCTTAGTCTAAGGCAATGGCTAAAAACCGCTACAACATCTATAACAACGATCTTATAACTATTGGCAACACGGTGTTGAGAGGATAAATATGTAATGTGATGCTCGAGTAAATGAGTATATCAATGAACCAAGACCATATATATTCGAGTGAAAGTAATATTGAAGATATGATAGTTAAAAAAGACTAAAAAATAATTTATTCTTTCCCGTGACTCAATTATAAAAACTTCAAAACGTAACTTGTTTGGCTTGGACAAATTCTATGTTGGGTAACATTGCATATGAGCGAGAGCAAAACATGCTAGAAAAACCCGTGTTAGTTTGTGGAGTAATTTTATATACGTAATGTGGTCCTATCATAGGCAAGGCAAAGGAAAACTTGTTCAAGTAATCAATGAAATAATTGCTTAGTGATGACAAAAAAAAAACCGGCGGCTAAAATGAATATTCACATGTTATGAATCAAACAAAGAACTAAATTCGATTAAGTGTTTAAAGGACTCCGTAAATCAAAGAATCTAATCAATCCATCCTAATTGGTACGGTTTGAGTTGAATTATCAAATAGAACTTTACTATGAGATTTCATATCGGTTGAAGAGGGGAACGAAATATTCCTTATAAGGGTGTGAAAACCCCTCCTTATAAAATCGTGAAACTGACAGTGATATGTAACGGGCTAAATCAGACAATATATGCTAGCGATGTACTTTGACTGTTACAAATGGTATCAGAGACAGACACTGAGAGGTGTGCCAACGAAGACACTGAGCCTCCAAGGGGATGGATTATGAGATCACACATTGGTTGGAGAAGGGAACGAAACCTTCATTATAAAGGTGTGAAAACCTCTCTCTAATATACGCGTTTTAAAACAGTAAGCTGACGGCGATACATATGTGTGCTTGAGCTCTTACATTTACCATCGAGATTAACTCAATATTGGAGACCCAAACAAATTTTGTAATTTTACTCCAAAAAGTCTTAAAGTGTTTATCGAAAACATTTCATAATCCAAATTTACCCCTAATTCTCGCTCAAACATTTTGAACCTAATCCAAGCATAATTAACTATCCAAAGTTAGAGTCTAATATTACAACACAAGGGGTGAAACCGAAATGAACCATTGTCTCGTTACTCACTAAAACTTTTGAAATTGATCCATTTTGGCCAAAACCGAGAGTGAGAGAGAGCGTGAACGAGAAAATCATTTGGTAATTGAAAAAAATAAGAACAGAAAGAAGTCTAACCTTAACTCAACGACCCATCCAACCAACAAAAGTTGACCCTAATAATGTTAACGTGTTAAATGTTGGAATTAGATACAAACATAGCTCGTGGAAATATAATTTATCCTTATTTAAATCTCATTCAAACACGAATGATACCCATATAGAGTTACGACACGTTGAGTACACATGCCTACTGGTCCACCATGCTTTAATAACAATGCATTCCCCCATGTTTTACGGGCATGTTTTAACACGGTAAATAGTACTCTTTTAACTTTCATGGGTATTTTTGAAATAAAATACGATAAGGGTATTTTGGTCATTTTTTAAAAAAGGTTTAAAATATTAATGGAAGTTTTTTTTTGTGAAATCATGTTTAGGGTTAACATTTCATTTATGAGCCGAAGAGCCATTTTCATTTTCAAGTAGTGTTAGCTCGATTACGTATTAATCAATATTCGATTGATTGGTCTGAGGTGAATTGGAGAGTAATATGATTAGGTTTAAAAAATTCAAGAACTAAAATAAAAATTTAAAAAGTAATATACAGATATTCATTATAGTTTCACGTGGCAATATAGACGAAGACAACAATCCTCGTCTCTATCGGAAAAATGTTCCTTCATCGACCATATTATATATAAATACGAACATAATTCAACAATAATTATCCATTTTATAATAAATAAATAAAATTTTAAAATATATTTAAACATGCTTCATCCATTCAAGCCAGCTTAGCTTTCCCTTTACTAAAAGAAAATGACTTCATCTTCTTCCTCAGAGCATCCACCGGCTCCCCCGTCTCTGAAACCCATCCCCGGCGGCTATGGCCTCCCCTTCTTCGGACCCATCAAATCTCGCTATGATTACTTCTACTTTCAGGGTAGAGAAAAGTTCTTCCGATCTCGAATGGCCCAATACGGCTCCACCGTGTTCCGAACCAACATGCCACCGGGCCCCTTCATCTCCTCAGATTCCAGAGTCATCGTCCTCCTCGACGCCCGGAGCTTTCCGATCCTTTTCGATACTACTAAGGTTGAGAAACGGAATGTTCTCGACGGAACTTACATGCCCTCCGTCTCCTTCACCGGCGGAATTCGAACCTGCGCTTTTTTAGACCCGTCGGAAACAGAGCACTCTGTTCTCAAACGTCACTTCCTCAAATTCCTCGCCTCTCGTCACGACAAATTCATCCCTCTGTTTCGAACCTCCGTGTCGGAGATGTTTAGTAAGCTGGAAAAAGAATTGGAAAAGACTAACGCCGCTGATTTCAACTCTGTTTCCGATGCGGCGTCGTTTGACTTCATTTTCCGGTTGCTCTCCGATGGAAAACCCGGTGAGAAACTCGGCTCGAATGGACACAGTTTGGTTGATCGATGGCTTATCATGCAGCTCGCTCCATTAGCCACTCTGGGTTTGCCCAAATTCCTCAGCTGCTTTGAAGATCTCATCATCCATACCTTCCCTCTGCCGTTCGCGCTCGTCAAGAACGCTTACAGGTAAAGAAACAGAGAAAAATCAATGAAATAAAACGCTATTTCTTAGCTTTATATTACTAGAAATCATCCAAAATCGAAATCAGAAAATGGGTTTCTTTTACAGGAAGCTTTACGATGCATTTTACGAGTCGTCGGAGACATTTCTAAACGAAGCCGAAAAACAGGGGATAAACAGAGAGAAAGCATGTCACAATTTAGTGTTCTTGGCCGGATTCAACGCATACGCCGGAATGAAAGTGTTGTTACCAATTATACTAAACTGGGTCGGATCCGCCGGTAAGGAGCTTCACCGGAAACTCGCTGGAGAAATCAGAGCCGCCGTGAAGGAAAACAGAGGACTAACATTCACCGCCATAGAGAACATGAGTTTACTGAAATCCGTCGTGTACGAGGTTCTGAGAATCGACCCGCCGGTGCCGTACCAGTACGCGAAGGCGAAACAGGACATTATAATCGAGAGCCACGATTCGGCTTTCGAGATCAAGAAAGGGGAGATGATTTTTGGATACCAGCCCATCGCCACTAGAGATCCGAAGGTGTTTGAGAAGCCGGAGGAGTTTATCGGCGAGAGGTTCGTCGGAGAGGAAGGGGAGAAGCTTTTAAAGTATGTTTACTGGTCAAATGGCCGGGAGACGGAGGAGCCGACGGCGGAGAATAAGCAGTGTCCGGCGAGGGATCTGGTGGTGCTGGTGTCCAGAGTAGTTTTGGCGGAGCTTTTCCTCCGTTACGACACGTTCACCGTCGAGGGAACTCAGTCGTCGTTGGGTTGGTCCGTTAAGGTGAAATCGTTGACCAAAGCCTAATCGCCGTCAACGATTCACCGGGTTTCTGTGTACCTGAGCGCACTGGATTGTTTGTGTAGTAAGAAAATAAATAATTAACGTTTGTATTGTAATTTTAATTATTAATTTATAAACTTTGCTTTTGTTTGGTTTAATTTTTATAATAATAAATAAGTAAAGTTTAAGTTTATCTTCATCTTTTTT